CCAGTAAGCGCCCCGGGTTATTATGTAAAAGGCACTTGCGTTATTAAAAATTATTCATTTAACAGAGTGGCCAGTAAGCTTCTCGGGTCATCAGGTAATAGGCGCTTGAGTTATCAACAATTATTCTTTTAACAGAGTGGCCAGTAAGCACTCCGGGTCATTGGGTGATAGGCGCTTGTGTTAATAATTAATACTTTATTATTTAATAAAGCGACCAATGAGCACCCCTGGTCATCGGGTGATAGGCGCTTGTGTTAATAATTAATATTTTATCATGTAATAGTGCAGCCAGTTAGCGCCCCGGGTCATCGGGTGATAGGAGCTTGTGTTAATAATTAATACTTTATTATTTAACAGAGTGGCCAGTAAGCACCCCGGGTCATCGGGTGATAGGCGCTTGTGTTAATAATTAATACTTTATTATTTAGTAAAGCGACCAGTGAGCGCCCCAGGTCATCGGGTGATAGGCGCTTGAGTTAATAATTAATACTTTATTATATAATAGTGTAGCCAGTTAGCGCCCCGGGTCATTGAGTGATAGGCCCTTGTGTTATAATGTTACAATTTTAAATTTTCGCTTGTCTTTGGAATTGCCCCTTCACTGCTGTGCTGTCTGCTCGACAGAACATTCTCTCTAGATCGTATAGCTATACATGCGATCTAGGGAAAAAGTTCCGACATTAAATCTGCCTAACCCAACGCTAAGGCTATGTAATCGTGTTATCCAGCAGTGCATTCTTCTTGCCATGCAGGTGGCGCTGTTTCAGAATACCGCACACAGCGAATAGCTCGCGAGTCTCTACCCGATTAGAAACCTACCTTCCGGCGAGTTTCAGGCCCGTAAATGATGCCATAAGCTAGGTATACGGACCAATTACGGCACCATACATGGCGTGTATGATAAGTGTTACCAGGTGAGTATATGGACCGGTTATGGCAGCCATAGGGTCCGGTAACCGTATACAGTCCGTATACTACCCAGAGCAGGCAAACGGAAGCGAAGAAAATAAAGCTTAACCAAACTTTAATAAATAGGAAATAATAAATGATCCAAAAGTAATTTGTAATAAATGTTCTGTTATATGCAAAAATAGTCCTTATTAATCATTTTATGTATCGGAACGACTAGTACATTAACATTATACCCCCAGCGAAAATTTAAAAACGTAACATAATATTAGAAAATGGTAGTTTTCCTACGAGTTTGAAAAGTCTTTGTTTGCGAACCGAGAGGTTTGCGGCCCGAGCCGAAGGCGAGGTCCGTAACGAGGTTCGTAAAGGAGACTTTTCGAACGAGTTCCGGAAAACTGCTTTTTCGCCCGAGGAAGTACCAGCCTCCCAAAACCACCCGAGGGCGGAAAAGTTAATAATATGCCGTAATCCGCAAGAAAATGTAAGAAAATGTAAGGAACTGTAATAGTTTCATGGATTTTGGACGTTTCTTACACTTTATTATGTTGTGTTACGTTTTTCTACATTTTCTTACGTTTTAATATGATTTACCACAGGCTGTTACACTTATACTTTTTCATAATAGTTACTAAGATTCTTTCATTTAAGGCAAATTTTATTCGAAAATGGTAGGAAATGTGTCTAAAAGTTATCAATGATAACTGCAAAAAACTGTAAGCTTTTATAAAACATTACAGATGACAAACACTTCCTTACAGTTTATTAGAGTTTACTACAGTTGCTTTTTCATGAGATTCAAGTGTCTTTTTAGAATTATAATAAAATGTAACGAATCGTAAGACAATGTGTTGGGTTGTAGTTGACTATAATCAAACGTAACAAAACGTAACAAACTGTAACTGTGGTCTGATGAAATCCAACCAAACTGTACACATCACAGAAAGTTACGGTTTGCTACGTTTTTTCACACTAACTTTTTCCGCTGGGGACGTTACATTTTAATCTCATTATTCTCCGTTTGCTTTGTTATCATCATTTTTTTTAAGATCTAACTGGATTTTTTTTCAGCATTCTTTTAGTTCGTCCTCCTCCCCAATCAATACAGTTATTAATAATACCAGAGATTAGTAGAGAGATTGCTGACTGCAATGCTACGGCGCGAGTTCACTTTTGGCCACTGTTTCGAGCGCCCCGTCGCGGCCAAGCGGTCGAACCAGGCACACATATTTTTTTTTTTATTTGAGAAGCGTGGAGGGGGTATACCGAGTGTGTGCCTACAGATTCGCGTGGAAATGGGCATGTAGGCACATACTTCGGAGACGCGTGGAAGGGGTATACTGAATATGTGCCTACGGAGAGAGGAGTGGTGTGCATGGAAATGCCGACTACAGCTATATAACTATATATACCCGCGTATATCATAGCGAAAGAAAGCAACGAGTCTTTCTCGCTATATACTTATACTTACTAACTTCTTAAATAAGGTCTTAGAAATTAAGGGGAAATAGAGAAGAAAAAAAGATTTCACATCTAATATTTGTAAAATAAAAAAACCTATTTTAATTTACAATTCTCTATAACATATGAAAGTTTAAGAGAGGCTAGCCATATTATTTTTCGAAAATTAAATCATACAAATAAATGTTTACGCAATTGGAACCTCAGACTTTCAAGGCATTTATTTTTTAGTTCTTCTTATACTTTGGATTTTCGTTTAGTACTGCGTATCAAAGTACGTTGAAAAAATATTTAGCTTGAAATATTTTTTGAGGTTGATAGTAT